CATACAGGTTTCTCAGGAGGCAGGTAATGTGGTCTGGTATTCCCATCTCATTAAGAATATTCCACACTTTGTTGTGATCCACACAATCAAAGGCTTTGGCATAGTCAATGAAACAGTAGATTTTTGGGCGGGGGGGGGATTCCCTTGCTTTTTCTGTGATCCAGAGTATGTTGGCAATTTGACCTCTGGTTCATTGCCTGTTCTAAATCCAGTTTGTACATCTGTAAGTTCTCGGTTCACATACTGCTGAAGTCCTAGCCTAAAGGATTTTGAGCATAATCTTGCTGGCATGTGAGATGAGTGCAATTGTATGGTAATTTGAACGTTCTTTGGCATTGCCTTTCTTTGGGATTGGAATGAAAACTAACCTGTGGCCACTGCTGAGTTTTCCTAATTTGCTGGCATATTGAGTGCAGCTCTTTAATAGCATCATCTTTCAGGATTTGAAATAGCTCAGCTGGAATTCCATCACCTCCACTAGCTTTGTTCATAGTGATGCTTCCTAAGACCCACGTGACTTCACACTCCAGGATATCTGGCTCTAGATGAGTGATCACACCATCGTCATTTTCTGGGTTGTGAAGATCTTTTTTGTACAGTTCTTCTGTGTATTCTTGCCACCTCTTAATCTCTTCTTGCTTCAGTGAGGTCCTTGCTGTTTCTGTCCTTTACTGTGCCCATCTTTGCATGAAATGTTCCCTTAGTATCTCCAGTTTTCTTAAAGAGATCTCTAGCCTTTCCCATTCTGTTGTTTTCCTCCATTTCTTTGCATTGATCACTTAGGAAGTCTTTCTCTCCTTGCTATTCTCTGGAGCTTTTCATTCAGTTGGGTATATCTTTCCCTTTCTCTTTTGCCTTTCGCTTCTTTTCCTTTCACAGCTATTCACAGCTATTTGTAAGGCCTTAGACAACCACTTTGTCTTCTTGCGATTTCTTTTTCTTGGAGATGGTTTTGGTCACCACCTTCTGTACAATGTTACGAGTCTCTGTCCATGGTTCTTCAGGCAGTCTCTCTCCTAGATCTAGTCCCTTGAACCAATTCATCACCTCCACTGTATAACCATAAGGGATTTTATTTAGGTCATACCTGAATGGCCTAGTGGTTTTCTATACTTTTTTCAATTTGAGCCTGAATTTAGAAATAAGGAGCTGATGATCTGAGTCACAGTCAGTTCCAGGACTTGTTTTTGCTGACTGTATAGAGCTTCTCCATCTTTGGCTGTGAAGAATATAATCAGTCTGATTTTGCTACTGACCACCTGGTGATGTCCATGTGTAGAGTCATCCCGTGTGTTGTTGGAAGAGGGTGTTTGCTATGACCAGTGTGTTCTCTTGGCAAAACTCTTGTTAGCCTCTGCCCTGCTTCATTTTGTACTCCAAGGCCAAACTTGCCTGATATTCCAGGTATCTCTTGACTTCCTACTTTTCATTCCAGATGAAAAGGACATCTCTTTTTTGGCATTAGTTCTAGGAGGTCTTGTTGGTCTTCATAGAATCGTTCAACTTCAGCTTCTTCAGCCTTAGCAGCTGGGGCATAGACTTGGTTTACTGATACTGAATGATTGGAAACGAACTGAGATCATTCTGTCATTTTTGAGACTACAACCAACTGCATTTCGGACTCTTTGTTGACTATGAGGGCTACTCCACAGGAACTCTTGCCCACAGTTGTGGATATAATGGTCATCTGAATTTAATTCGCCTATTCCCGTCCATTTAGTTCACTGATTCCTAAAATGTTGATGTTCACTCTTGCCATCTCCTGTTTGACCACGTCCAATTTACCTTAATTCACGGACCTAACATTCCAGGTTCCTGTGCAGAATTGTTCTTACAGCATCAGACTTTACTTTCACCACCAGGTACAACCACAACTGAGCTTCGTTTCTGCTTTGGCTCAGCCTCTTCATTCTTTCTGCAGCGATTTTTCCATTCTTACCCAGTATTGTACTGGAGAGCTACTGACCCGGGGCATTCATCTTTCAGTGTCGTATCTTTTTGCCTTTCCATACTGACTATTCATTATTCATCTTAGAGTATGTTTTAAATAGATATATTAAAAAATTTTTTGTACACAATTTTAGACTCTCCTTCTTTTCCCAATACATTTGTGACCTCCTGTTTGGGAAACATTTCTTTGGCAAGAAAAGAATATATACACATATACATATTTTTGGCTGTGTAGAATAGCATGTGGAATCTTAGTTCCGCGACCAGGGATTGAACCTGTACCCCGCCTATGGCAGCACCGAGTCTTAACCGCTGGACCATCAGGGAAGCCCCTGGCAAATGTTTTTCTGATTGCTGTCGCGAGTTCAGGGTTCAGAGATGCGAAGACAAAACAAAGTTTAAAAACCTCCATTCTTCATTTGATGAGAGACACTTTAACAGCAAACTATCAATAGACTTGTGCTAACCTAAAGGTAGGTAAAGAGAGCTGTGAAAAAAAAAGTTGAAAGGAGTCGCCCAGTTGTCTTACGGGTGGAGGAGAGGTTAGAGCGCGTCATGGGAGAGATCTTGTTTGAACAGGATCGTGAACTATGAGAGGGTGGGTTAGACTCGGCAGGGAGACAGGATCTGCAAAGATCAAGGTCACGAAACGTATGCACATCATAATGGTGAGAAGCGTGCGACTCTGGATAGCATTTGCAATGTGAACAGTAAGTTGGAACTCCCCAGCAGAAGTCAGACCCACTGTTTCGCTCTTGTTTCATATACTCTGAGGGAGCCATGAAGATATTAGAACAGGGGGACTATTCATGACAGTATTTTTATACATAGAAATTACCACACTGTATTATAATGTTCTCCCTCACTGATCATTGGAGCTCTTCAAGGGCTCTGACCATGAATTATTAATCTTTGTACACTAAACTTCTGGTAGAGTAACTGTTAAAGCTAATGCTTAGAGAACGTTGGTTGAATGACTAATCGTGAGTAAACAGGATTCAGAAGAATAATGACAGTCCTCTGTGGTGGTAGTTTAAGTTTCCGTGGGTGATAGACCACTCTGTAGTTCTGTTGAAAGCTATAAACCTTCTTTTTGAAAATGTAAATACATACAACATTTGGCCTACAATTTCATGGGATTCGTGTATTCCTGAAGCCAGTCTGTGGATTCCTGGTTCAGAATCCTTCCTTAGGAAATTACACCCAAGGAGCCTACAATCACCACCAAACTTCACCATGAATAAACGACTGTCTCTTTCAACAGTCTAAATGTTAGATCTTTCTTGTACTTTTCTTGAATTATCTTCATGCTTGGGAGGATTTAGTTCAAAGAGCTGAACTATCTATGAAGAAGGAAAAGAATTTTTATAATGACTAAGTTAAAACTTTGCTGGTCTGTAAAGATAATAAAGTGTGCTTAATTAAGCCAGCAGCCAAGAAGCAGCTGCTAGAGGTGATGCTGATGGTCCCTGAGTTTGGATTTAACAAGTGAGGTGGGGGTCCTCAAAACCTTCCTCAGGCTTGATGATTTACTAGAAGGACTCATCGGACCCAGAAAAGCTGTTGATACTCATGGTTTTTATTCATTACAGTGGAAAGACATGTACTGAAACCATCAAAGGGAAAAGGGAGGGCACAAGGGGCAGAGCCCAGGAGAACCCACGGGCCAGCTTCCAGATTCCTCTCCCAGTGCAGCATCACCAGTGCACTCAGAACTTACTCAGGGACGCAGCACGTGGGGAGCGGTGCCCGCCAGCGAAGTTCCCTGGAGCCTTGGTATCCAGGGGCTCGGTCACAAAGGCCCAGTCACGTAGCGCTCTTGTGAGGGAGGGTATCTCAGGGTGTCAGAGCTCACCTCCCGGAACTGGCCAAGGACCAGTCCTGAAGACAAGCCTTTCCTGAGGACGTGCGAGGTTTGCGCAGCTTGGGCTTGCTGGGTGAACCCCTTCCCGCACACCAGGTTAGCTGTTGAGAGTAGCCAGCTAGCTTCTGGCCTGCCTGTCTGCCCAGCCACTGTTTCTAGTTAGAGCAGACCTCCCTGCTCTCACCGCAGATGGCCATTCTGCAAACCTGGACACTCCTTTCCCGATGTGTAATTGGACTCAAGGATGTATCTGTGCTTCTCATGAGAACACAGTGATCTCCCACTCATTCCACGGTTTTTGAATGTTGCGTACCAGGCTTAGTTCTAGATGCAGATTTACAGACTCTGCCCTCAAGAACCTTAGAGTTTCATGAGGGAAAGGAGAAGATAGTTCCGGAAATCTGTGCGTGTATGCTTTGGGGAACACTTACGCTTGTTGGCGAGCTTAGTGAAGGGGGGTTCTGTGTGTATGGGAAGGTGTTGATTATAATTAGCAGACTTCCCTTAAGGAATTACTCTTCAAGTGGAGCCATAAAGATCAAATAGATAAAAGTGGGCACAAGGCAAGTGTTTCTCCAGTTATTTCTATAGCCAGTTGCCTTTGTGGTTGGAGCACATGTGTCTTGTTACCTTTCTTATGAGAAACCACTCTACTCCTGATGGGAAGGTATGTGTCTTTTTTGGAGTTTGCACAGGAGAAGGGGATGTCTGGCTCAATACAAATCTATTTCCATTACTCTGTTACCGTAAGCTAACCCTGAGATTTCCAACCGACAGTGATTTCCATTCCCCCAGTGCAGGGAATATATGAATCCCTAATTTTGGACTGATATGAATAAGTATAACCTTTGTAAATTTTTGTGTACTGCATTTTAAATGGGAGGACAAATGCTTGCCTTGCACAGATAAAATTGCATGTAACAGTTTTTCTCTACTTGGAAGCTAAAAAGGTTTAGGAAAAAATCTGGGTCCAAATTTCAACATGTTTGACTCCTACACATATGTGCTTCTTAATAGAATTTGGAACTTCTCAGAATAACAAAGAGTTTTGTTTTTTGAACAGTGTAAAGAAAACTGTATAATTAGAATCAGGAATGTGTCAATATTAGTACAGAGACTATGGGATAATTTAAAATTGTTAACTTTGATAATTTTCTCTGATAGGCTCTTTTTTCTTTTTTTCCAGCATTACAATGTTTCTGCCACCTTTGTACAAAAGACAATTTTACTTGTGTCACAGATGGGCTTTGCTTTGTCTCTGTGACAGAGACCACAGACAAAGTTATACATAACAGCATGTGTATAGCTGAAATTGACCTAATTCCACGAGACAGGCCATTTGTATGTGCACCATCTTCAAAAACTGGGCATGTAACTACAACATATTGCTGCAATCAGGACCACTGCAATAAAATAGAACTTCCAACTGTTGGTAAGTTGTATAAGATTTTTTTTTTCTTGATACTATAAGAAAAGCTCTTAGACTATCCCAGTTTATTCACTTTAGAGGCAAAAATTAACTAGTCCCATACTAGCAGAGTCATAAGAGTAGCCAAAATTCTTACTCCTGGGTGTGTGTTGCTTGAGAAGGTGGTGCCGGGACAGACTTTCTCTGAGGTCTGTTGTGCCTAAAAGAGGAGTAGGCACTTTTGGAGAATCCTCACGCAGGCTGCCATAGCAGCGATCCTGAGTGTCCCAGCTTGCATAATGCTCCAGCCTCTGAAAGCGGCCAGCCAGGGACGGGGAATGGAGAGCAACTCAGCAATCCAACACCTTCTCTCTGTGATTTCACCTTGCTGTATGATCGTTATGTGTAAATTATTACATGTGATTTCTCGGCTTTTGGTCCTTCACCATAGTTTACATTTTAAAATGTCCTAGGAGAGCCAGAAATTAGAAAACTTCATAAACAGGACTGGAGTAGAGATTCTGGTAAGGATGTTGGTCTGAGCTCAGGGGTTTAACTCTGCCGTCACTTTTCCCGGTGGGCGCCCTGCGGGCTCAGACGGTAAAGAATCTGCCTGCAGGGTGGGATTCCCAGGTTCCATCCCTGGGTTGAGAAGATCCCCTGGAGAAGGAACTGGCAACCCACTCCAGTCTTCTGGCCTGGAGAACCCCATGGACAGAGGAGCCTGGCAGACCATGAGGTCACAAGGAATCAGACATGACTGAGCAACTACATGATGTGATATGATGATCTGTCACTTTCCCCAAATACCTACTATAATAAAGGAATACAGAAATGAGGGAAAGCTGTATTAATGCTAGGGGAATTCATGGAAGAAGTGTTACCTACATGCATGCAGAGTTGTCAGGAACTGCAGTTTATAGTGCAAATGATAATAGTCTAGTCAAGAATTGACTAACTATAGGAAAAGAAGTAGGTGAAAGAACTTTTTGCAGAATCCCAGCAGTACTTTAAGCTGAGAGGCTGGGCATGAGGCTGGGCTGCATGAGGTGCTCCTTTAGGGAGCACTGCTCTCAGTGCTCAGAGGCGCAGACCCCAGCGCGCAGTGTCCACTCAGAGGCGGTTTAGGCATCATACTAGTTAAAGCAGGAAACACTGCTGGAGCTCCGGGAAAAGGGCCAGTCCTGCCAGTCACAGAGGCAGGCAGTCTTCCACCTAGTTCACGTGATGACAGCAAAGTAGAACCAGATCTTCAGCACAAAGAAGGTCCTTGTGGCGAAGCTCTGTCAGACCGTAATCTTTCTGACTTTTATATAGTTATTTGCAGTTCTAATATGACAAAGAGAATAATGATTTCAGAATTTCCCATTTTTGCTGTTTGAAATGGCTTGAAATATCAGAATGGAGACTCAACAAAACCTTATGAAGAACTCAATTTCTAATGTTAAAATACACAGATCCGTCATTCCCAGGTCCCTGATAATCAGACAGCAAATGATTTTACCAAATGGAAAGATTCCATGGTTCAAAAGAAGTGAACTGAATTGGATAAATGAGAGTAGATGTCATCCTAAGAAATAGACTTACCACATGATAGGGGAGAACTTTCAGAGAGTCCAAGGTCTGTTTTCAGTAGTCCGCAGTGAAATGAGAACATTTCACAGTGGTTAAAGATTGCTTTCAGATGAAAAGCTCAATTGATAAATTATTTTTAAAAATGCAATACTGAAAGTGAACAGCAGACTGGATACTATAATTTTATAATCAAGTGTGAGACAAGCTTAAGGCAAGACAAGCTTGAGAAATTGTGTTACAATTCAGAAAAAAGACAGTTGGTGAGCAAATTAAGAGATATAGAGGACAGATCTAGATGATCCAATGTGCTTACTGTAAAACCAGAAAAAGGCAAAAGGACAGAAGAGAAAAGAATACTATGTAAAATTAATGAAAGAATTACTTAACCAAATATATATGATGAAAAATCCATCAATTTTCAAGAATAAAGGAAAACTGTGTACACATTCAGCACAAGTGAACACTGGTTACCTATAAACGGAAAAAGTTCAAATTATTATGTTTAAAAAAATACCAGAAGGCAATGAAATATCATATATTGCTTGTTACCCAAAATTCTTTAGATGAGCCAAGATTTTTCCTGTGTAAAGGCAGCAGCTAACTTTAGATAATCGAGTATTCAATGTGTATGCACTCATGCACTCCTTCTGAAAGATAGGATTCGTTGTAAGAAATCAGTCCAGTAAAGATCTCAACATGATAAAGATGTGATGTGAAGGAAATGGTGGTGGGCCATGAACCAGTAAGTGTCAGAATGAATGCCTAAATAGTTGTAATTAATGTGTTTCTGAAGCAATGCAAATTGTTAATTGTTAAATTATAAAAAATGATCTTGAATTAAAAGGCTCAGTGATTAAGATAAACTGGAAAGTATACATGTGCAAACTCTATTAAAAAACGGTATATTTTTGCATGGAAAAAAAATTGGTGGAGATGTATCGATACACAGAACATGCAAAGATGAATTTTAGGGGGATTGTGAGGCTGTAGATAAATTTAACTTTTGCTCATCTGTATTTATATTTTTTAATTTTTTTCTTGCTATGAGCATATACTGGCCTTGGAATAAGAAGATAAGCCGAACTGCTTTTTTAAGAAAAGAAAAGACAGTGAGTCAAGAAATATTTAATGAGAGTTGTTCCAGATTATCGGCTCTCCCATTAGTAATCTGAGAGTGGTGGGAGGTGGGGAGTTGGGTGTACAGTGTTTGCAGTACCTGGCCTTGTTATTTAGGCTCAAGGCTACAGGAAGACTAAGTGGGCGCTGACAGAGCTAGTGATGGTAGGAGGGGAGCCAGCGGGAGAAGACGAGGCACTCCGCTTGCTCTGGGTTTGAGCTCCATGAGCCGCTGTACCGAGGCTGTGACTGAGGAGGATCAGGAAGCGTGGACGCCGCCCGCAGTGTTGCTGTTGCTGTTGATTTCATCGGAGGCCCTTTTGCAGGGAAGCCGCCCTCCGGCCTCGGCCCCGTGGAGCTGGCGGCGGTCATCGCGGGGCCTGTCTGCTTCGTCTGCGTCTCGCTCATGCTGATGGTCTACGTCTGCCACAACCGCGCCGTCGTCCACCACCGGGTGCCGAGCGAGGAGGACCCCTCGCTGGACCGCCCTTTCATTTCAGAGGGCACGACGCTGAAAGACTTAATTTACGACATGACGACGTCGGGCTCTGGATCAGGTAATGCATTTCTTTTCCCTAAAATGTCTTTTTAAAATTAACTGTATTTATTAGTTGGTTAAGCCAGTTGGCTAAATTTGTGAAAATTTGGGCTAGTGTGGATACTACCCCAGGTTTGAACCTTAATATAGGTCTTTAAGCTAGGTTTATATCTGACTGTGGCTAGTTTAGGAAGGACAAATTAGAAGTGACTGACTTGTCAACATTTCATCAGTAAGTCACCTTCACATTTGCGTAAATTTCAAAGCATTCTCACCTTCTCATGACTGTGCAAGATAAAAAGGATACAGACAGTTATTCTTCTGTAGCTGAGGCTAAAGTTCAAAGATGTTCAAATCATCTGCAGTTACCCATTCTCTTCAGGAATGTTTAGCAGCTTTATTTTTATATTTGAAAGCAGGTGTGACAGTGTGTTTGAAATTGTGAAGGCTATTTGCTTTTTTAACAAGAAATTGCTGTCTTTGGCTCGGGCCTATTTCTTGTTGTTGTTTTTATTAAACAAATGAATTTTTTGTCATTTTCTCCCTTAAGAAAATGCCTGACCACTTTGTTATTTAATACAGCTCTATGGATCCATGGCCCTTCTGATATTTGCTTTTCTCAATTTGCTGATTTATGTGGGATCAGAAGTAGATTACCCAATTGCCTGAAGCAAATTAACTTCAAATAAGGGCTAGATTCATGGATACAAAGATTAAAAAAAAAAAAATATATATATATAAAATGAAAATTTCACAAATTATATAATCAAGTGATTAAAGGAACTTTAAAGCAAAAATTATGACTAGGGGAAGCATATGGCTCTGAAGCATAAAATCACAGACACAAAAAAAAGTTCACAAAATGAAAAATGCTTTATTTCAAGGGAATCGAGGTATATTTTAAGGGATGTGTATGTACATGTGTTCATTCATTTAAGTATGAAGAAACTGATTTCATGACCTAAAGTTTTCTTCTGTAGAATTTGACCATAAATATTCCATGAGTTCTGTCCATGACTATAGGATGCATACAGGCTTACGAAGGAGCCCAGGTCTCTTAAGGCAGCCTTGTAGGGATTCCTGGGACTCCTATGAGGAGGGAAGCAATTAGAAGTTGGATTAGAGGAGCAGCCTTAGTTCTGAAGATGTGGTAGAAATGGTGGAGGAGTGGCCAGAGATTATTTTACGGCTTCCCTGGGGTTCCCCTTTGATTCTGAGTTAAAGGGTTCTCAAAGAGATTCTGGCTCATTCCAGGAGTTATCCTGGAACAAAAAAATATCTTAAGCAAGGACCAAAGTCACGGGAAATTAGTGTGGCTTCAGATCATTTGGAATTAATCCCTTGGACCTGCTCTCTTGTGGCCAAACTTAAACCCAGGAAATCAAAGCAGCTCACGTCACCGGCAGTGTTATGTATCTGGCCTCAGGGGGAGCCAAGTCTTCCCAAATGGTTAAAAGACCCAAGGAAATCAAAGCAGCTCACGTCACCGGCAGTGTTATGTATCTGGCCTCAGGGGGAGCCAAGTCTTCCCAAATGGTTAAAAGACCCAAGGAAATCAAAGCAGCTCACGTCACCGGCAGTGTTATGTATCTGGCCTCAAGGGGAGCCAAGTCTTCCTAAATGGTTAAAAGAAATTGCTGTCTGGATGGCAGTTGATTTCTAAATAAGGATATATTTACCTTTTAAGATACAGATATGAAGTAAAGAATGGAATGGCTCTTCTTCCATTTTACCTATATTTCTAGATCTGTCAGGGACCCAGCTCCGCTGTCTGAAAGCGTCTTTCCTTTTTATGCCTCCTCCTACCATGTAAAAACTTGTCTGCGCTGTTTGCCAGCTCTGTGGCTTTGGGTCGCTAGCTGATGTCTCATGCTGGAGTTATTTCATCTTTAAAATGAAAATAATGAATCCTGCCTTGTATACGTCATTGAATTTGTTGCGAGATTCAAATGAAATGGTATATTTGCGTGAAAGCACTTAATTAAGCACTTGGTAGATTGTAAAGTTTTATCCAAATGACAAGTGTTACTCTTATTGAAAAGGTATTTGGGAAAGAAATCTGACATCCAGTTATGAATCTGCTGCATTTTACAGAAAAGCTTTCGTTTAAGGCCTCTTTCCCTGTCGTACTTTATTCTGTGCTGAATGACTTCCAGCTCTATCCAGACAGAGGCTATCTTCTGTTGAATGATAGCAGAAAGTGCTTTTCCTCCTATTTATTATAAAGCCTGAATGCCATTTCATGAATGGAACTCATGCCTCTGAGTAAGTCAAATATCTATGAATAATACCCTTTTTAGTTCTTTCAGTCTTTGAGGAAAAGGTAAAACAACATTTTATGTTATGAATTCAAATGTTTATTACTTAAATAATATTAATTAAATTAAATATTACTTAAATAAATAGTACCGTATTTGAGGAAGGGCCCTATCGCTCTCTTTCAAAGACTGTACTTTTTAACTTCGGAATTGCGGGAGACAGTAGAGAGCTGGGTCTGGTACCAACTTAAAGCTAACCTTATCCCTGTTGCATGAATCTGAATCATAGGTTGTGCATGTGCTTATTTTTAAGCATATTCATCTATTTAAGCAGTCATTAGATTGAAAAGTGTGTGTGGACATGCACATGGGTATGTCAGTTTTTGAGAACGTGAGTCTCATAACCCAGTGTTTATTATGTCTTGTTCATGCTTATGATCTCTTTAATGTATGCATATTGTTATGGTCTTATTTCCATTATTCACTGCATGTGAAGGTGCTTGGACCATGCATTTTCCCCTGTTGTAGCTTCCTCTCAAGCAGTTCTGAAAGGCACAGAAGTAAAACAGAGAACATTGAGATCTAACTTAGGCCTGTTAATTTTTGTCTTTACAAGAAAACTTATTACTTTTTTTTTTAATGCTCAGATACTCATGTGGGTTGTGGGAACCAAATACAGGAAATATGATAAATCTTGACTTTCCCTGATAGCTCAGTTGGTAAAGAATCCGCCTGCAATGCAGGAGACCCAGGTTCAATCCATGGGTTGGAAAGATCCCCGGAGAAGGAAAAGGCTAGCCACTCCAGTATTCTGGCCTAGAGAATTCCATGGACTGTATAGTCCACCGGGTCGCAAAGAGTCTGACATGATGCAGGGACTTTGATGCTTGACTTAATTCTGCATCTATCAATGGTGAAGGGGAAGACTTTTCCTTGTCCTCTTAGCCTTTCTTGACTGTACCACTTACACGAGTCTTGAACGTGTCGGGTGTTTCCAGACTTCCCATTTGCTATTCCCCTTTCTTTTTGGCTTCCTTGGTGGCTCAGAGGTTAAAGCACCTGCCTGCAATGCTGGAGACCTGGGTTAGATCCTTGGGTCGGGAAGATCCCCCGGAGAAGGAAATGGCAACCCACTCCAGTATTCTTGCCTGGAGAATCCCATGGATGGAGGAGCCTGGCAGGATACAGTCCACGGGGTCGCAAAGAGTCGGACACGACTGAGCGACTTTACTTTAACTTTCTTTTTTATTCCTTGCCGTTCTAACTTCAAGATCAGCCTCCTGAAAGGAACCTTATTTTCTGTGTGTTTTGAATACTTATTAATACATAAATAAATAAAACCCTGGTGGCTCAGATGGTAAAGAATCCGCCTGCAATGCGGGAAACCCGGGTTTGACCCTAGGCCGGGAAGATTGGCTGGAGGAGGGCGTGGCGGCCCACTCCAGTATTCTTGCCTGGAGAATCTCCATGGACAGAGGAGCTACATTCCATGTGGGCTACGGTCCTGCAGTCGCAGAGTCGGACACGACCGAGCGACTGGGCACAGCACATGGGATCGTGGCCTGCTGGGTCTTCGCCGCCGCACGCCGGCTTTCTCTGGCAGCACCTGGTGGGGCGCTCTTCACTGCAGTGCCTTCTCCTTGCGAGCGCAGGCTCTGGGTTGCACGGGCTTCAGTCGCCGTGGTGCGTGGGCCTCGCTGGCCAGCAGCAGGTGGCATCTTCCTGGACCAGGGGATCAAACTGGTGTCCCTTGCATCGGCACGCCGATTCTTAACTGCTGGACCACCAGTAGCGTTCCTGAAATGAACTCTCATGTATCTTGACATCTTTTTAAGTACATGGTGTGGCCCTGTTCAAAGGCTTTAGTGTCTGCTGTGTGTACTGTCAGTACCTTAGTGTCCACTGTAAACAACATAATTAGGGACTAGTTATTCATAATACAAATGAGCTCCTTCATTTAATTTCTACAGGTTTATTTTTAACCAGTGGTCTCCTTGTAAAAACAACTGTTTACAATTAGACTGCTAACTACTTTGCAGGAAGTAGGGGACGGATGGATAGAATAAGGGAAAGACCTATTTGAGAAGCTTAAAGATGAAAAAAGACAAAGATTTAATGTTTGTATTTATAAGCATTTCACACTAGAAACCAAAGAGAGCAGATAATTTCATTTACCTCCATTGGGTTAATTTGATCTAGTAGGCAACTCAATATAGCTTACATGTGACACAAATTTATGCATATTAGACTATATAAATAGTGTAGAACATGATGTACACTGATATTTTAATGGTCAGTGCCAGTATAATTTAAGGTGACAGTTCTTAGTCCATGAGCTATTAAGTGAATTAGAATAGTGTTACTTAAATTTTATAGGTAGTTAAGTACTTTTATATAAATGAAGTGTGGTAAAATATTAAACTCTGTGTTAAAATCAAGCAAGTTCTTTTGGTGAGAAAACTGCCAACATCTCATCACCAAGATGAGTTACTTGGCATCATTCTTTGAGATGTTAAGAGTTGTGGCGAGCCAGTCCCTAGCACATAAATGAGTAAACTGCCTGCCCTGAGATGGTTTCTGTGACCATTTTTAAAGTTAGACCATAATTCACTTCTCTTGGTTTTGGTGTTTACATACTTTTCCCCTCCCATTCTTAAAACTTACCAGACTCATCTTTCTGAAATAAGATTTTTAAATCATTTCTTCCCATCCATGGCCCCTTTTCAGAAATGTCTGCCAGGCCCTCTTTGCCCCAGAGCTCTTCTCTGGGCATCCTGAGCTTGGCATTCAGGACTCCGCACATTCTGACGCAGCTTCCCTGTTCTCCTATTTTACTACACACGCCCCCTTTCTGCTTATCTAAGCTGGTTCCCTAAACGTCATCTTCTATTTCCTTCCTTCTGCTTTTGCTTGTGTATTCCTCCTACCTAAACACCTGACCTTCTCTTCTTTAGTCCTATCCCTTCTGTAACCACGGTCTAAATTCAGCTCACCTTTTAAAGCCTGCCTTGACTCTTAGGCAGGAGTTTCTGGATCCTTTGATTAATTTCCTTTTTATCATGAATTATTGATTTCACAAATTTACTCTGTATTTCCTCAGTGAGATTTTAAGTTACTAAACCTTTCTGGGTCATTCTTTAACACCTATCCTAGTTTAGAAACACATACTGATATTTTATATTGAATGCTGTTTCTTCTTATCCTTAGGTTTACCATTGCTTGTTCAGAGAACAATTGCGAGAACTATTGTGTTACAAGAAAGTATTGGCAAAGGCCGTTTTGGAGAAGTTTGGCGAGGAAAATGGAGAGGAGAAGAAGTGGCTGTTAAAATATTCTCTTCGAGAGAAGAACGTTCATGGTTCCGTGAGGCAGAGATTTATCAGACTGTCATGTTACGTCATGAAAACATCTTGGGATTTATAGCAGCAGACAATAAAGGTCGGTGACATTTGCTTCTCCTGTGAGTGTAACAAAATATATTTTAATTCCTTCTACACATAAGACTATTAAACACTGTCATATTTGATGAGAAATGGATATTTGTCATATTGGTCAGACCTATTAAGTAAAACAGAATACATTAGAAGCCTTTAGAAACAGGAACTTCTAAAAGATTTTCTTGATTCTTGACATGTTCCTAAACTTCTAATTACTTCATAAAGTATAAAGAGCTATTTAAAAAGACAGAAAGTGAAACTATATGCTTTTGTTAATTTGGTTCTGGGAAGTTAGATATTGAATATAGTCATAACAGAGAAAAAAAATTCATCAGCTCTAGTTGCCCGGAGTTCTGAGATAGACTAGAGCTCAGATATGTTTCCTTTTAATTTCTTCCTGACCATTAGGGCATTCTAGTATTTCCTAATGAGCTTATTTACAGGGAGAATAAAAATAACTTCTCAACTGTATTCTGTGTTTAAATTTCTAGGGCTAAATAGATTAGTCTTTTAAGTAAACTCAAGAGAAATGGTTTCTCTAAAACCGCCTTGGTAACCATGTGGATGAACCCTGTCTTGCCTGTGGTACACAGGTGACTGAGGCCAGGGGTCAGATCAGATGCTGAAGCAAGTGAGGAAGCCATGTGCGTAGACAGTCAGGATGAGCAGTGACTGAAAAGTCACTTCAGACTGTACTTACTTTTTTGGCTTCGGTTACAGCAGTGCCCACAGTCCCTACCTTTATAGCTTTTGTCAGAGACTTGTATGAAACTTAACTCTTCATCATACTTGCTTTGAATCAAATGTATTTCCTAGCATTGCTTTTTTTTTTTTTAGAAAAATGCTTTCATTCTTTTTTAAAGGCCATAACCATAGTCATCTTTTTACTCTTCTCCCTTCCCCTTTTCTTCAACAATATTTATTTCTTCAAAATGTTAATAGTGTTTAATTGTAATTGGTGTTCATGGGTGATTTTGATTTTTCTTGTTTCTCTGTATTTTCAAATTTATTTACAATGAACATTACTTGTTTTTTTAAACTTTTATTTATAGAAAATTTCCAGTATACAGAAAAGTAGAGAATAGGGTAGTGGATTCCCATTACCCAGCTTCAAAAATTATCAGTTCATTGCAAATCATATTTGAGTTCTGATTTCATCTACTCTGCCCCCTTTGAATTATTTGAAGCTAATCCCAGCAATACATGTTTTCACTATGAATATTTCAGTTTGCAACTTTAGATTATAGGGCATCTTTTTTTATGAAACATAACCATACTACCATTGTCAGTTTAAAAGATGCTATCAAATATCTAGTCAGTTTCATATTTCTGCAATTGTCTACTTATTGGTTATTCACTTTAGGATCCACTGCATTTAGTTGATATTTATCTTAAGTCCTTTAAAAACACTAGGGTTCCCCTTTGTCTTTTTTTTTTTTCCTTCTCACAGTTTATTTGTTCAACTGGATTGTTTGTCCTATAGAGCTTATCATATTCTAGATTTGCTAATTGAATTCATACAGCATCTCTGAACTTGCTCCTTGCATAATTTGAAAACTGGTAGTTAAAATTAGAAACTGAATCTGATTATTTTATTGCTTTTCTGACTGAAAGTACTTTCTACATATTATTGTATTCTTTCTATTGCACCTCATCAGGAGGCATATATATGTGATTATCTACTTTTTGTGACCTAGGGGTGATGATGGATGTAAGCAGCTGTTATCAATAGATAGTACCAATTTGGTATTATTTAATTTAAAAACAAAACAAACAAAACCAGTACTCATAGTCTGACCAAGTCCTTACTTTTCATTTTCTTCTTAGACACCATTTTGCTTCTTCCCCAGTGCTTTAAAACAGTCTTTATTATTAATGTATTCTGTGACTATGGAGTTTTGTAAATTTTTTTTATTGAAGGATAATTGCTGTACAGAATTTTGTTTTCTGTCAAACCTCAACATGAATCAGCCACAGGTATACACATATCCCCTCCCATTTGAACCTCCCTCCCATCCCACCTCTCTAGGTTGGTACAGAGCTGTTTGTGTTTCCTGAGACACACAGCAAATTCCCATGGCAATCCGTTTTACACATGGTAATGTAAGTTTCCGTGTTACTCTTCCCATACATCTCACCCTCTCCTCCCCTGTCCCCAGGTCCATAAGTCTGTTCTCTAACCTGTTTCTCCATTGCTGCCCTGTAAATAAATTCTTCAGTACAGTTTTTCTAGATTCTGTATATGTGTTAGAATACGATATTTATCTTTTCTCTGACTCACTTCACTCTGTGTAATAGGTTCTAGGTTCATCCACCTCATCAGAACTGACTCAAATGGGTTCCTTTCTATGGCTGAGTAATATTCCATTGTGTATAAGTACCACTACTTCTTTATCCATTCATCTGTCAGTGGACCTCTAGGTTGCTTCCATGTTCAATGTATTGTAAATAGAGTTTCAGTGAACAATGGGATACATGTATCTTTTTCAATTTTGGTCTCCTCAGGGTATATGCCTAGGAGTGGGATTGCTGGGTCATATGGTGGCTTTATTCCTAGTTTTTTAAGGAATCTCCATACCGTCTTCCATAGTGGCTGTATCAATTTACATTCCCACCAACAGTGCAAGAGTGTTCCCTTTTCTCCACACCTGTCCAGCATTTACTGTTTGTAGACTTTTTGATGAGGGCCATTCTGACTGGTGTGAGGTGATATCTCATTGCGGTTTTGATTTGCATTTCTCTAATAATGAGCGATGTTGAGCATCTTTTCACGTGTTTGTTAGCCATCTGTGGTCTTCTTTGGAGAAATGTCTGTTTAGAAATGTCTTTTTCCCACTTTCTGGTTGATTGGGTGAGTTTATTTCCTAATAGGTGCTTTTGTTTTCGGAAACCCTTCTTAACTCACATGAAGGCTCTAATTCTACACATAGGAACTTCTCCCTCAGAGAACTCGCCCACATTTTTGGATTCGAGCTCAGGGGTGGCGGAGACTTCAAAAGGGGCGGCCTGAGGCTCGGTCTGGGCTGTTGGCACGCTGGCCCTCCCTGAGCGCTCCGGCTCGAGCAGCAGCCAGGCCGGGGCTGCCACCCAGCGGCCACCGTGGGGAGTGGCGGCGCCGCTGGCTCTTCCCGCCGCCTCTTTCTCTGTCAGGGCTCAACGGCCCTGCCTAGAACCGAGGCCTGCCCCGCCCCCTTCCCCGCCAGCCCCCTCTTCCCTTTTTTTTATTTTCCTCCTCCTAATTTAGTTAATTCCAACTCAGACAACCCTTTATGCGGGCACAGCCAGTATATCCTTCCACCTCTTGTCAGTTACCTCAGAAAATCTCCCAGTCTCCATCTTACTGTGTTCCGAATTTACTTCTTGTATTTGTGAACCTTCCAGAATTCAGCTATGGTTAATAATCATGCATATGTACTTAGTGATATACCTGTATCAAGGAAAAAGAAAGGTACAAGTTTGAACAAAATCAGTTTATGAAGTTTATGAATGAACTTATAAAGAACTAGTATCATGAATATCTAAATCCTTTTGAAAATACTCAGCAATCTCCTCCAGAATCTTCTGAAAACATTTCATTCCTTAATTGCTTCTAATCAGAGTTGCTGTCTTTCAAGTAACAACCTTCAAAATAAGAAAGTGTTTTATGTCACTTTGAGTATCTTTTGTTATACAACTAACAGGGAAGGAAATAGCACATTTTAGTTCTTGTGTGCCATGCTAAATGCTTTTTAAAAACTTTATCCTATTTTTAAAATCTTCTTAGTGGTCTTGAAAAGTTAAGGTATTCTTGCAGTGTAAAAGAGGAAACAAAGGCTCACTGGTTAAGAAGTTTCTTAACTAGTCTAAGGTCACGTAGTCAGTAACGGCCAGGCCCTGGATTCCAACCCAGGTCAGAATGACTCCAAGTAAAGCATCTTTTACTGAAATGCCCTGCCTCCTAGTATTGTTGTAATACTGTTTTGCTATCATCATTTTGTGAAATATATGGGTCTCCAGCTACTTCTAGGTTAAATGGACTTTCGTGGACCAGCCTAGCCGAGAAGCCCAGCCAGAACCTTTACCATGGCTCCTGAGGGAGATCACATTTTCATTTCACGTATCGGTTTACAGTTAATTGAACTTTTGGAAAAAGGCACATTCCTAGCTGGTGAGGTTTAAAACTACCTTGTGTAAAATTAAATTCAGTCCCAGCCTTATCCCCTCCTGACATTTTTAGTTCCTCTCTCAGCTTCCCCATGAGTCAGTGATACTACTGTTCTATAGTTTTCTAAGCTGGAGACCTTGGAGTTGCAGAAATCTTACTTGGCGTCTTGCTGGACTGTACACACAGTCTGTCACTAAAGCCTGCATTTCTCATTTAAGGTCACGTTCAGTTTGTCCCATAATATTCCATCCCCGCTGTGGCCGTGCTAGGCTCCAGGTATCTCTCTTCTTCCTCCTCCCTCGTTGTTTCCCCCCGGCTCCCAGGAGCAATCAGTGAGCAACTCACCTGGACCAGGCATTCTTCTGTGTATTAAAGAGTCCATCCCTGCTACTGTTTGTGTGGACTCGAGATCACTCTCTTTACACTATGATTCTTTGTCTCTTGAATGGACTAGTTGTCTTTGCCTCAATCTCAAGAATAGGGGACTTAATTTAAGGACCTAAAGGATATAAACATAAACGTATAAGAGAACTGAAAATAAATGAAAATATATGAAGAAGAAAAGCAAGAAAACATGAAAGAAATCTATACAAATGTAAGGTACCAATGTGTTGCAGTTGTGTGATTCAGGACTGAGAGTAAAAAGTGATCATGTTTGAATAGATACATCATAAATGTTCTATAGCCTATCTGAAATATTGTTTTTCTACTTGGCAGACAATGGCACATGGACTCAGCTCTGGTTGGTGTCAGATTATCATGAGCATGGATCCCTTTTTGATTATTTGAACAGATACACAGTTACTGTGGAAGGAATGATAAAACTTGCCCTGTCTACAGCAAGTGGACTTGCCCATCTTCACATGGAGATAGTTGGTACACAAGGTAACTCAAAGTAGTCCTGTTATTTAAGCTTTTAAATTCCCATGGGTCTAATGTCTTTTCAGAAAATTTTTGCAAGAAGTCAGCCGAAGTGGAAATGTTTAAAATGAGTTTTTATATGAGAATATTTTAGCTTTCTGTTGAAAATCTAACGTAGAGTTAGGAATCTAGGAATCTGATTAGAGATTCTCTAGTCGTTCTAACAATACTGGTATTTTGGTAAGTTCTTAAAAGCAGTGTTTATTAGACTTGTGATTTTTGAGGATCTTGATTTTGGAATTTATCTATAGTACCAAATGAAATGTGAAAATGCTCTGTAACATCCAACATGCTACATAAATGTTATCTGACCATCTGATAGTTGCGTTTGACCCCAGGACAAGGGGACTGCATGAGTTAGTGCTGTGCTATGTCTTTGCAAAGTCATTGTTGATTATTATGGCTTTATTGAGTTATAATTCACATACTGTGTCACGTACAATAAACTAGAGAATTCTTAAAGAGATGGGAATACCAGACCACCTTACCTATCTCTCTAGAAACCTATATGCAAGTCAAGAAGCAACAGTTAGAACTGGACATGAAACAAAATAGACTTCAAAAACAACAGGTTCAAATTGGGAAAGGAGCGCAGCAAGGCTGTACATTGTCACCCTGCTTATTTAATTTATATGCAGAGTACATCATGTGAAATACTAGGCTGGATGAATCACAAGCTGGAATCAAGACTGCTAGAAGAAATAACAAACTCAGAATGATGGTAATGATAGAAAGTGAAGAGTAACTAAAGAGCCTCTTGATGAAGGTGAAAGATGAGGGTGAAAAAGCTGGCTTAAAAGTCAACATTCAAAAAAGGAAGATCATGGCATCCAGTTACATCACTTCATGACGAATAGAAAGGGAAAAAGTGAAAGCAGTGACAGATTTTTTTCTTGGGGTCCAAAATCACTGTGGACAGTGACTGCAGCCATGAAATTAAGACACTTGCTCCTTGAAGGAAAGCTATGACAGACCTAGATCGAGTATTAAAAAGCAGAGACATCACTTTGCTGAGAGAGGTCTGTGTAGTCAAAGCTGTGGTTTTCCAGTAGTCATGTATGAATATGAGAGCTGGACCATAAAGAAGGCTGAGCGCTAAAGAATTGATGGTTTCAATCTGTGGTGCTGGAGAAGACTCTTGAGAATCCCCAGGACTGCAAGGAGATCAAACCAGTCAGTCCTAAAACAAAACCCAGAATATTCATTGGAAGGACTGATGCTGAAGCCCCAGTACTTTGACCACCTGGTGCAAAGAGCCAACTCATTGCTAAAGACCCTGATGCTGGGAAAAATTGAAGACAAAAGGAAAAGGGGTGGCAGAGGATGAGATGGTTAGATGGCATCACCAACTCCTGGACATGAGTTTGAGCAAACTCCAGGAGATAGTGAAGGACAGGGGAGCGTGGCCTGCTCCAGTCCACAGGGTCGCAAGGAGTCAGACATGACTTGGTGACTGAACAACAACAAACTGAGTTGTAATTCACATACTATACAATTTACCCATTTGGTGTACAAATCAGTGGTTTTTAGTATCATCAGTTCTGTCTAGCTATCACCACATTTTAAGAACATTCAAGAGCATTTTCATCATCTCAGAAGAACCCTGTGGTTCTTAACAGTCACTCCCCATGTCCCTCTAAGCGCTCTAGCCCTAGGCAACCTCTGATTCACTTTCCATCTACTGTTCAGTCACTACGTCATGTCTGACTCTTTATGACCATCTGTAGATTTGCTTATTCTGGACACAGCATAGGGAATCATACAATATGTGTCTTTTATAACTAGCTGCTTGCTCTTAGTATAGTTTCAAGGTTTATCCATGTTGCAGCACTATCAGAAATTCATTCCCTTCTATGTCCAAGCAATATTTCATTATATAGATTTACCACATTTTGGGTATCCATTCATCAGTGATGGACATTTGTTGTTTCCACTTTGGGCTATTTTGAATAATGCTGCTGTGAACACTGATGTACAAGTTATAGTGTGGATACGTTCCCATTACCTTGGGTATGTGCTTGGAGGTGAAGTTACTGGATCAGACAGTAACTATAATGATTTGTGAAACTTGCCAGACTTTTCTTTTCCCAAAGGGCCTGTACTATTTTATTGTACATTCCCACCAGCAGCCTCTGAGGGTTCCAAGTTTTACACAGTGTAATTATTTTATAATAGCACTTTTTCTAGTATTTAGTATTAAAGGCATTACACATTTAATGAATATATTGCAGCTGATAGGCAAAAGAAGTGATGTAGATTTTTGGTTCTTGGACTGGAATATTAGTACCTAGGAGTCCTATAAAAAAAGATTCATAGGGTGTCAACAAACTAGTATCTTTAACCCCCTGGTTTTTGAGTGTTAGACTTATATTTTTTGAACATCATCTGTTTCCTTTGAAATGTAATTTCATCAACTTCTTGTGTGCTGATTGATGTAAGGGCCCGGGTATTACAGTGATGGGGGTGAAACACTTCAGATGCTGGGACGGGAGGACCTAAAGGGGAGGTTTGTGACTGGTATCACCCTTTAAGCGACCATGTTTAACTTTCTTTTTCTTTAGGAAAACCAGCAATAGCTCATAGGGATTTGAAATCAAAGAATATCTTGGTAAAGAAGAATGGAACGTGCTGTATTGCAGACTTGGGATTGGCAGTAAGGCACGATTCGGCCACAGATACCATCGACATTGCTCCAAACCACAGAGTGGGAACAAAAAGGTACACTCATCACAGAGTGAACACGGCTATTGTTACGTTCTGAAATTGACTTCGTTTCCTTCTCATCTCTAGATACATAACTTTTCTGAAACTCAAAACCTTGTACTTTGTTAGGTTGCTCACAGGTAGAAGATCTCATGGTCTTGCCTGCTCTGAAATCACGGTTAGCTAACTTACAAAGGTTACTGCTGATGAACGGTAACCTTTCCAGAAAATACTACCATTAGTTATGTTATCATGAGCAGTTAATATTTATGGGGTAACTACTGTGTACCAGTCATTTTAATGTGTCTCATGTATATTACATCATTTAATGTTCTCTTCAAGTGTTGTGCTGTAGTTAGCCCAACTTTTTATATTTTTATTTCCTAAAAACATACCTTTATCTCTTCAAACTTTCACATGTGCTGTATCCCTACCCTTTTGGGCACCCGGGACTTATTGTTTTGAAGATGATTTCAGGATGATTCAAGCACATTACATTTTCTGTGCACTTTATTTCTCATCTAGTGCTGCCACTGATCTGACGGGAAGTACCACAGTTTGTGGGCCCAGCCTCTGTCCTAGAGCATATACTTCCCCTCCTGTTTCCTTACCTTGTACTCCATCTCCCTTTCCCAGAGGAATCTTTTTCTGGACTGTTGGATGTCCTTGTCAGGCACCCACGTTGCATGCTAAATCTGGATCACTTAGCACATTATAACTGTTCACTGATCTGTATATTCCCAGCGTCCATCACAGTGCCTAGAACATAGTAGGTCCTCAATAAGTATTTGTTGAATCTATGAGTACTACCCTGGTAGCTCAGTCAGTAAACAATCTGCCTATCATGTGGGAGACCCAGGTTGGATTCTTGGGTCAGGAAGATCCTCTGGAGAAGGGAATGGTAACCCACTCCAGAATTCTTGCCTGGAAAAGCCCACGGACAGAGGAGCCTGGTGGGCTACAGTCCATGGGGTCACAAAGAGTCAGACGTGACTGTGCGACTACCACACACACGAGTACTCAGAGCCCAGGCGGGTAAGGATCACTGCCCTCAGCTCACAGATGAGGAACCAGCTTGTGAGGGTTCTGTGGCCAGCCAGCCTCACGGGTGGAGAGCTGAGAGCTGAACCTGGGCCTTTCTGACCCAAAATGCTTTGCTGTGTGTATCACAGCATTTCGCCCCCACATACCCTCAAACTGCTTTGCTGGACTTGAACAGAGCTGAATTTTATTCTATCTCAGCTGTATTTATGGATTCAGTGGGGACTCTCAGATCTCCTGACTCAGGGTTCCAGGCAGTGGTTGCTGCTGGTCTGTGTGAGTCCTAATCTGTAACCTTAGTAGGATGTTTGAAACCTCAGAACTGTGCAATATGGGATCAATAAGGACTGGCATTCATTTTTGTCTATTATTTTGTTCCCTGGAGTATGTCCTTGCCTTTCCTTTTCTCCTGTTTTAGTGAGAAGACTTCTAGACTGAAATACATAGTCCCTGCATAGCACTCAGCAAAGCAGGTGGTGTATAGTAGGACGCCTAGGATGTGGGTCATTGGAAACAAAGATCATAAGGCAAAGAGCATAAAATTGCTATTTCAGCTTTTTATGGGATTTGGAGTAAACCACTGGAGATACTTATTTTTCTTGAGTCTAATATGATCTCAGTTATGTGTGGAGGCTCAGGCTTCAGAAATCAGACCTGACGGGGTCTGGGATAGGATGTACATCCTGAAGGGGTTAGAGTCTGATGTGACTGCATCTGAGGATGTACGCAGCGGAAGCCTGGGCTGCCTTAGAGGCCAGGCGTCATTGTGTGGGCCGTTTTCCCCTGCATTAGCAGGACAGCAGGACACCACCTCCAGGGACAAGAACACCAGGACCAGGTATCTGCATACCCTTTGTCAAAGGGGTAATGACCAGTATGCTGAGGAGAGAGGTGACAGGCGTCCACACCAAGACCGACCTTGTACCACAGCTACGGGGCTCCCACCTGTAAATAGTCCTCAGAGACCATCCAGACAACTGTTTCTCCTAAACTCACAAAGTGATGCTGTGAAAGTGCTGCACTCAATATGCCAGCAAATTTGGAAAACTCGGCAGTGGCCACTGCTGGACTGGAAAAGGTCCATTTTCATTCCAATTCCAAAGAAATGCAATGCCAAAGAATGTTCAAACTACCGTACAATTGCACTCATCTCACATGCTAGCAAAGTAATGTTCAAACTTCTCCAAGTCAGGTTCAGCAATATGTGAATCATGAACTTCCAGATGTTCAAGCTAGATTTAGAAAAGGCAGAGGACCCAGAGATCAAATTGCCAACATCTGTTTGATCATCAGAAAAGCAAGAGAATTCCAGAAAAACATCTACTTCTGCTTTATTGACTACGCCAAAGCCTTTGACTGTGTGGATCATAACAAACTGGAAAATCTTCAAGAGATGGGGAATACCAGAACACCTGACCTGCCTCCTGAGAAATCTGTATGCAGGTCAAGAAACAACAATTGGAACTGGACATGGAACAACAGACTGGTTCCAAATCAGGAAAGGAGTACGTCAAGGCTGTATATTGTCACCCTACTTTTGTGCAGAGTACATCATGCAAAATGCCAGGCTGGATGAAGCACAAGCTGGAATCAAGATTGCTGGGAGAGATATCAATAACCTCAGATATGCAGATGACACCACCCTTATGGCAGAAAGCTAAGAACTAAAGAACCTCTTGGTGAAAGTGAAAGAAGACAGTGAAAAAGTTGGTTTAAAACAACATTCAGAAAACTAAGATCATGGCATCTGGTCCCATTACTTCATGGCAAACAGATGGGGAAACAATGGAAACAGTGAGAGACTTGGGCTCCAAAATCACTGCAGATGGTGACTGCAGCCATGAAATTAAAAGATGCTTGCTCCCTGGAAGGAAAGCTATGACCAACCTAGACAGCATATTTAAAAGGAGAGACATCACTTTGTCAACAAAGGTCTGTCTAGTCAAGGCTATGGTTTTTCTAGTAGTCACGTATGGATGTGAGTGTTGGACTATAAAGAAAGCTGAGTGCCAAAGAATTGATGCTTTTGAACTGTGGTGTTGGAGAAGACTCTTGAGAGTCCTTTGGACAGCAAGGACATCCAACCGGTCCATCCTAAAGGAAATCAGTCCTGAATATTCATTGGAAGGACTGATGTTGAAGCTGAAACTCCAATACTTTGGCCACCTGATGGCCAACTGACTCACTAGAAAAGACCCTGATGCTGGGAAAGATTGAAGGTGGGAGGAGAGGGGACAACAGATGATGAGATGGCTGGATGGCATCACCGACTCAATGGACATGAGTTTGATTAAGCTCCAGGAGTTGGTGATGACAGGGAAGCCTGGAGTGTGCAGTCCACGGGGTTGCAAAGAGTCAGACATGATGAGCAACTGAACTGAAACTCACAGAAGAGAAAATAAGTAAAATGAAGAAGCAGAGGAACCACTCCCAGTTGAAAGACCAAGAGAATTCCCTTGAAAGAACAATGAAACAGACCTCTTCAGTCTAGTAGGCACTGATTTCAAAAAGAAGACTGAAAATACTGAAGGAATTGAAAAAGGCTATCAACAGAAATACAGAGGACTGTGAAAAAGGAATTAGAAACTATAAACAGGAACCAAGAAAAATTAGAAAACTCACTTGCAAAGACAAAAACTGAAGTAAAGGCAATGAATAGCAGAGTAAATAATTAAGAAGAACGAATATGTGACCTGGAAGATAGAATATGAAAACTGCCCAATTGGGGCAGCAGACAGCCAAATGAAAAAAAGGCACCTGTGGGCTAAGATAAAGTATGCCAATCTATGCATAATAGGAATTCCAGAAGGAGAAGAAAGAGAAAAAGAGGTTGAAAATGAATTTGAAGAAATTATGACTGAAACCTTCCCATGCCTAAAGAACAAAACACATATTCGGGTGCAGGAGGCATTGAGGGTCCCAAACAAGGTAAACTCAGAGAGGCCTACAGCAAGACACATTATATACAGCAAAAGTTAAAGAGAAAAATCCTAAAGGAAGTAAGACAAAAAGTTAGTTACAACGGATTCCCCCATAAGATTATCACCTGTTTCCACTACAGAAATGTTGCAGGCTAGAAGGAAGTGGCAAGATATATTCAAAGTCCTAAAAGAGAAAAATCTGCAACCTAGGATCCTCTACGCAGCAAGGTGATCATGTGGGAAGAGATGAAGAAGTTCACAGAAAAGCAAAAACTGAAAGTACACAGCAAAACACTAACCCTTTCTGAGGGGACCCTGGAAAGTCTCCCCTACAGAAAAGGGGTGATGCTCCATCGGGGAAAAGGAGGAAAAGTCACAACTGAAAAGCAAATTACTGAAATAAGCCTGCACACAGATTTTACAAATTTCTGTGAAAGTGATAACCACAATGAACAGCAAAAGAATGAAGATGAAGATATAAAAGTGGACATCTAAATCATAAAATATGGGGGAGGAAAGTAAGAAAATGTAGGTTTTTTTTTTTTTCTTTCATTTCCTAGATACGTCTGAGCCTGTATGCCTACCTATCTAAGGTAAGCAGATACAGGACAGGATTAACGTATTTGAAAAATAGAGTAACCACCAATGAAAAACACAGTAAATTCACAGAAACCAAAAAGAAAATAAGTATAACACAAAGGAAATTCATCAAACCACTAAAGGAAAACAGAGAAATAGAAACGGACAAAGAAGAAATACAAAATCAATGGGAAAACAGAGTCAAAATGGAAATAAATATGTATATATCAATAGTTGCTTTAAATGTCCGTGGACTGAATACTCTAGTCAAAGACAGAGGGGCAAACATTTGCATAGCAAAGGAAACCATAAACAAAACCAAAAAGACAACCAATGAATGACAGAAAATATTGGCAAATGAAATGACCACCAAGGGATTAGTCTCCCAAATTTACAAACAACTCATGTGCCTCAATATTAAAGAAAAATAACCACCCAATCAAAAAACGGGCAGAAGATCTAAGTAGACATTTC